TCCATGTTTCCTGTTGATAGCATGGTGAAAAACGCACCCAAATGTGGCTATTTTTGTCGTCTTCGTCGTCCTCGTTGCCCATCCTCACCACAAGACAACCGCCTGCCTTTGTTGTCGTCGCAACGCTCGATGAAATAGGAATGACACGAACTATAAAGGGAAGATATACCGCCTCATACAACAATAAACATTAGGAGCACACTTTCCGCTCCACTAGGTAGCGGCTAGCGGTTAAAGGCCGACGTACAACCAAGGTTTTCTGCAGGGAAGATATTCCTATTAGCGTTCCCCTCTCCTAAGCAGCGATGGCGGCCAAGTTGGGCCAAGGTAAAAAGTGAAGAGGATATAGGAAAGGAGGAGGCGGAAAAATGTAGAAAGCGCGAAGTATACGTCGGCCTTTAATGGAGCACCGAAGCGGCCGTATCATAGGGTTTCCTGTACAGAACTGGATTCATTTCGTGACGTGATCGGATTTGGCGCATAGCGGCGCCGCGACACGTGGAAAACACACGCGCAACTCTGGCTTCCGAAGGTAGGTTATACAGGAACGCTATACCGACGCATCATGATGATGATAGTCATGCTTGCTCTAAAAAGACGGGGACGAAGGTGGTGCAGCCTCTTAGTGTACCGGCCTCACTTGGTGCTTAGACCTGGCATTTCTCGACTTAGCGTCAACGCTGCAATGTGCAGCGAGCGTCGGGAGCCGCCCGCGGCGTCCCGAGAAGAGGCTCGTGTTTTCACGGCGCCCTAACTGGCAACGTACACGTCTCCATTTCCACGCCATGACTAGACCGGCTTTCCTTGCCTATGGCTGACATAAAAGGCATCTCCAAGTGGGACATCAACCAGGCACTGCACCAACAAAAAGAGGGGTTGGAAAACAAAGGAACGGGAGGCGACGAAAAAGGTGGAGAACTGTCATTGGAAGAGTTTTGGCGGAGTATACACTCTCAGAAAAAAAGGGTGTATGTGGGTGTATCGCGCACCCTTACACCCCCCTTCGACTGGAGACACCCGGCGAGCGTAATCGCACTCCCATCATGCGAATCCTCCTCTCCCAAAGGAATCGGCGGGCGAGGCGAGGGTGTTGCCAGGTGCACCATTACACCCCCCCCCCCTTTTCCTCTTTCCAAAAGGGGAGAGGGAGTGCTATCAGGAGAGCGCAAGAAAACAAACGAAATGCGCGCGGTAATAGAGTAGAGCGCGCGTCCTGATTAGCAGTCACTGGTTACACGTCATCCGACTGACAACCTATCGCGATAGCGATCGCGTTTCGCGCGTTATCTGGCCTTCGTGTTGCTAGGAGACTTGACCTCCTCACCTCCTGCATTCCATCTCGGCGTGCTTCGGCTGGGGACATCGCTTTTGTTCATTCGCGCTATTTTGAATTCCGTGTTTTTTTAGAAGGTGGTTGGACAAAGCGGATCGTGTTCACGAAGCGATGCTTGGCACGTAGCTGCAGTCACAAACCAAGATGTGCCCGCCCGATAAAGGTAAGTCTGCCGTTTACATGCACTCGTTGGATGCTGCGTTTTGCGAGGCATGGGGCCTGCTAGCTGGGGACGTGCTTTCCTTTTTCTCCTGTTTATGTCAGAGTTTCCTCGCTTTTGTATTTGTGGCATGTGTGCGCGGTGGCGGTGCCCGGTTCTCTGAGTGCACAAACGAGCACGACATCGCAGCTTCGAGACATTATTCTTGTGTGTATAGCTGGCGTCATTCAGAGCAACGGGTCTCTATCGTTTCGCCAAAAAACACGTTTTGTGGACAGATGTTTCATGGACTCTCGTACGTCGACACTACCGTTCCATCGACAGTCGTTACGCGGATTTAGCGTTGTAGGGACATTTCGTCGCGGGTGTACCCTACACGTACTATCCGCTTCGTGGCAACAGTGTGAGGCGGCTCCTTACAGAAAAAAGGTAGTTTGTGCTCTCGATGAAGCATTCTGGCGATGAATCACCACGTATCCATAAACCGATCTGTCGGTGAAACGTAGTTCGATTGCAGAGCAACATGCTTGCGCTTGTTACCGGCTTCGCTCGCACGTATGGTTATGCAATGCGGTTTTCAGTGGGGATGATGGAACTAAGGTGGCGCTTCGGGACAAGGCAGTTAAAGTTATTTTATAGGTTCCCTACGGAGTCAGAGTTGCGCGTTTATCTTCGTAGCGCCGTCTTTTCTGCACGGCATGTTGATCCAGCGCCTCACGCGACTTTTGGACCTCTTGGCGAATATGTGCTGCCACCTCGAAAACAACGCGCGCGCAAGGCCTCTCCCAAACGTTCCACACCCAAAACGTCAGCTACATCCTGTTCAACCATTGAGGCGCTGTGACCTAGATACTGCTCCCCCAAACTCGCCTTTGTCCCCATCGTCCTTAATCTTCCGCCCCCGAGGTCGACACAACGAAACCATATTCCCTCCCTGCTCGGCCACTACGAAGAGGGAGAGAGTACTCGAACCATTGGCTACGTTTCCATGGATGCGACCATGGCGCATCGAATCGAGATGTGACCAGTCACGCGCCCGCGATCCTCCTTTCCCTTCCTCGTCTACCCAATCATAGGCGGTTAATCTCGATTCGATTCGCTACGATCGCATCCATGTAAACTCAGCCATTGACTCTCGAACCGACGAGGCGCGCGGCGCGCTCAAAAGCAGGGGTGCGTACGGCGGGGCGCGTGCGACGTTACTTTCTTGCACGGTCCGTGGTCGGATCTCGGCAAATAGCGGCGCGGCGGCACGTAGAAAATAGACGCGCAACTCTGGCTCCCGTAGGGAGCCTATAGACCGACACGCTGTTTACAAACAAGCCCGCCTTTGCCCACACCAGGTGTGGGCACTGCGCGTGCGCAGAAACCGAATTTGGGAGGAGTGAAGGATCTGCGCATGCGCTGTGCCGCCGACAGCGCCACCGCAGCTGCATGACGTCAGGGCCGCGTGTTGGTCTATACAGGAACTGGTACTCTAGTGCAGCATTGAGATTATAGTCTCCAGCCAGAGTTGCGCTTCTGGTTTCCCCTTGCCGCCGCGCCGCTATTTGCCGATATCCGATCACGTGAGGAGCAGACTCTAAATGCTGTGCAAGAAAGCCACCGGTACGGCGGCTTCGCCGACGGTGCAAGCGCCTCGGTGTGCATACCCCCGCTTTTGCCTTCTCCTATCCTGTTTTCCAGGAAATGAGGAGGTAGTGCACGGCGGCCGCTATCCCCCGAATTCAGTCACGTGAGGAGCAGACTTGAAGTGCAGGAAAGCCGGAGCTACTGGGATGAACGCGCAACTCCTGACTCCCGTAGGCTGCCTCTGCAGGAACTCTAGGGCAGCATGGAGTTCCTGCGTAGGCCCCCTACGGTAGCCAGAGCAGGGTTGCCAGGTATTTGCAGATTAACCCGTCAAAATTTCCTGATATTGTGCCCAAGAATGGCCAAATGTCGGGCTATAGCAATAGCCCAACACATAAAATTTCATACAAGGTATTTACATCTCTTTGGAACACGGGTAACATGATACATGACATAAGTCTAAGACAATTATTTACAGAAGAAGGCAATAAGAGGATAAAGCGTTCCCATGTATATTTTAGTGCAGCGAAAGAAGGGGGTTCTCAAACATCTGTTAAGCTGCCCCCACTCCTCTTCCTCCCTCCTTCTGGAGACACGTGCCTCCACCCCTGCCTGCGGTATTAAATCGTGCCAAAAAACTTCAGAAAAAAGATATTGCACCTCCGCAACCAACACCAATGAGGGTCCACATATAACATATTGTATTTTCACGCTTGTGATTTGAATATTTTCCTTTCCTAACCTCTTGAGTTAATTGTTTTTCTCTACCCGGCGCAGAAATATCATGTTTAAGGCTTTGAAAATTGTTGAATATCGGGTATAAAATAGCTTAATAGCCAGCCACCAGATTTTCCCGTCTATTACAAAACTGAGTAGCCCAGTTGGGCTGTTTATAGCCCAACCTGCCAACCCTGAGCCCGAGCTGCGCGTTCACCCCGGAGCACCGGCTTTCCTGCAAGGGACGAAATTCTGCTCCTCATCTCACTGGATTGGGCGAATAGCAACGTGCTCCTTCTCCTTTCCTGGGAAACAGGAAAGGAAAAGGAGACAAAAGCAGGGGAACGTACGCTGAGGAGATTGCAACGTCGGCGAAACGGCCGTATCGGCTGCTTTCCTGCACAGTATTTGGATTTTGCTCCTCACATGATCGGATCTAGGCGAATAGCGGCGTGTCAGCGTGTGGATAACAGACGCGCAACTCTGGCTCCCGTAGAGAGCCTATGCAGGAACTCTAGGACAGCATTCACCAGCTTCGGTGTGTGTGGTGCTCAGTTTGGCGTTACTTTGAGAGCTCTATTCGGAAACGTATGCAGTGGCTGTACTCGCGGATGCTAACTTTTGCGAAGCTCGAGTTTGGCTAACTTTGAATTGTCATGTTGGTACCCTACTTGTCAGACTCTTTCTTGGGCAAAATTTGTAAAATTAGACTACACGTTTTATTGCATTTTTCATTTGTGAAGCATACACTTTGTCACACTACAGCAACAATTAGGTGTCGAAGTGTTAATGGTTCAAAAACGCGAGTGTCTCCTTGTGCTTGTAGTATGCAAGTCATCTCACGCACCTGTAAAGTGTGAGATAACATAAGATGCTTGGTTAGATCACGTGTACTAATGACTCGAATCTCTAACGCACAGGAGTGAAGCTCTGCTGCACAGATGTCGCCATAGTCCCGAGGCACCGTCAGGCAAGGTAAGCAATAAACTAGCCTGCTGATTTTTGTTTTCTTGTCAGATTGTCAAGCATATATTGTGAAATTAGGCTAAGTGCTTGCTTAGATCACGTGTACTAATGACTTTCATCTCTACTGCACAGGCGAGAGGCTCTCCTTGTAGCACAGTCGCTACCATAGTCCCGATGCCCTTTCTGGGTAGGTAAGCAACCTACTATCCTGCACTGTTTTTTTTTTTAGTTTGTAATGCATGCATTGTGAAATTGGGCTTGGTGCCTAGCTAGGTCACGTTTACTAATGACTATTTGCACCTAGCAGTGATGCCATCATTGTCCCGAGGCACGTTCTGGCAAGGTAAGCAATTCACTACCCTGCGGACCCTACTTTCTTTTTTTCTCTTCTTTACTGGTCAGGCTGCTAAGTAAAATTGTGTGACTAGGCTAGGTGCTTGTCTAGATCACACATACTAATGAGTAATCTAATGCACAGGCGAGAGGCTCTGCTTGTAGCACAGACGCTACCATAGTCCCGAGGCTCTGTCTGGCAAGGTAAGCAATCAACTATGCTGCAGACTGTTTTTTTTTTCTCAGGTTGTTAGCGTATCTTGTGAAACTAGGCTTGGTGCTTGGATAGATCATGTTTGCTAATGCCTATTCTCTGATGCACAGACCAGAAGCTCTGCACCTAGCAGATGCCGCCATAGTCCCGAGGCACCGTCTGGCAAGGTGAGCAATTGACTCTCCGGTGGACCCTGTTTTCTTTTCTTCTTTACTTGACAGACTGCTAGGCTTATATTGTGTGCTTAGGCTTGGTACTTGGTTAGATTACATGTACTGATGACTCAAATCTCTGATGCACAGGCTGCCCTCAATGCAAAACAGGTTTAATTTTGGCAGACGCCTTTCGTCAAGCATGGTACGTAGTCTTTACCATTTTGTAACTATTTGATTCAACGGGGGCGACATGTTTTCTTTAGCGACATTAATGATAAATAAAGAGTTTGAAGTAAGAAGGACAGCATATAAAATGGCACAAAAAAGGAGCAAAGCATAGATACCATTCACATGGGCGTACCATCCGGGCGGGGGGGGGGGGGGGGAAGGGGGGGGCGGGGTTGGCATGTGTTGTCCCCCCCCCCTGCCACCCCCCTAAAACAGCCGCCACAGGGCAGGTTAAAGACTGGCCGACGGCGCCCAAGGGATACCAAGAGCACTCCCCCCCCCCCCCCCCCCCCCCCGCCCCCCCTCCCTGACTCGAAAACAAGTTCGAACGCCACTGACCGTACATATTCCCCACGAACTACACCCTCTACAATACAGATACAACTACACATTGTATCTGTATTCCTGAATACATTTTCACCAGTTTCGCAGAAGTGTCTTGGGGATATAGCATTGCGTAAAAGACAATGTATCTCAGTATCTGTATTTTTGGCCTTAAAGCAGATGTATCTCAGTATTCCCGAATACTTTTTGGAGTGTGTCTGCCCAGCCCTGGTTTATGGCACATTAATTTATTCTATCATTCTTATTATTTTCCAGGTACTTCGGGCAAATCAAGCCATCTGAAGTGCGATACAAAAGTGCAACCAGTGGCATTGCACCGAAGTTGCGAACTGTTCAAGTGCTTTGACATCTGTGAGTGTACCCTCCTTCAATTATACTCCGTGTCACTAGTTGTGTGTAGTGCAGGTGAATGCAACGGCCATGCGAAGAGAAAAAAGGCGAGCACTAGGAAGGCATATGGGAGGGGAGGGCAGGGCTGGGGGAGAGGGGGAAAGCACTACGAATGTTAGATAGGAGAGGAGGTTACTCTCCTCACCCGCCTTTCTAGCGCTTGCCCTTTCCCCTCTTCCGGCATTGCCTTAGCCTGTGCTGCGCGCAAGTAGTAACTCGGAATATATTCACCATTTTACAGATTATGATGCACTGGCAGGTAATAGATAACTGGGTAAAATTAATCTGTTCAGTGCTTGGAGACGCAGCTCGCGACTTCCTTGAACACGGCATTATAATATGTCGCTAATAGACCGATCTCACCAGCTAGTTTAAGTACGCCACCGCTGCCGATATCCATCGTTGGAGCTGTAGTCTTTCTACACGCGCGACAACCATGCTGGAGGTCTGCGCGAGCAGACCACGAGGCAGCATGAGCTGTCGCCTGAACTGGAGTCTGCCTCCTACGAACTACAGTTATGGCGGCGTCACGCATGCGTGGAATGCTTGGTGGGATCGGTCTATTCATTTACGTTGGAAACGTAGCTATGCTCTTATAACATATCCACATAGTTAATGTAGTTTCGTTTTTATTTTTCAGGTGTTTATTCTCTATTTTTCCTTTCCGTATTTTTTTTTAGTATTTAGCACCTGCACGACAATTCCGTTGGTAGGCTGAAACCACGAGCTCTTTGCTCGAGGATGCACCTCAACTGCATGAACTCTCGCTTGTCAGAAGCAACTACCAAAGATAAATTCATGAGCTCCGGATTCTCGCCCTCAGAAAATATCATCATTAAAATACAAGTATTCGCTCAGACTGGTGCTATCAGAAATTCTCAGAAGAGCAAAAGGCATTATTTCGAGACATGTTGAGCTTGAATATATCCTGAGTGAAATAAGCAACGGCAACAACAGTGTACTTGTTCTCTTGTCCTCTTACAAAATGCCAGTATGTTGGCGGCAGTACCAATTTAATTCTTGTGATTACATCAGGAAAGGGATAAGGGGAGCACTACAAATTAATCACGGCTAAAAATGTCACTGTCAAGATTGCAAGTTACAAAATGTGGAGAGCGCAAGGTCGCTTTAACAATTTCTTGACCCTTATGCCTTACAGAAGCCCTCAATCTTTTGGGGGTGGGCTATGTGGCCTCTACACTCAAATCTGTTTGAGAGCACAGTTTTAGATGGTCCAAAATTTTGTTAAAGGAAGCTTGCATTAGGACACCTCTGATGTTGGCATTTGTTTATCTGGTTAGGCGCCACTGAGTACAAGGTTGCTTATGGCATTTTTTGGCTAATTGTGCATTTTATTAGTAAAAAATAAACACAGTTGCAATAAGAAACAGGCTGGCATTGTTGAAAACCGCCAAAATCAGTTGTTTAAGTATATTGAAAACACATGCTTTTTATCTGTGTTTTCGGTTTTCCAGCCTTGCACCTGTATCTATAGTGGTAAACTTTTCGCCCTACTATACTTCAATGGTGTGCAAAATATTTATGAAGTTGGCAGAGTTCCTGGTTTTTGGTAATGCTCATTAAGTAAGGTGTGGGGCCTTGACAGTGTCCTATATGTATCTAATCATGGTATGCAACTGGGTTTTGTTTTTCAGGAATGCTCCATGGCTCTTTTTGGTGGTCAACACCCAGGGCACAAGACTAAAAGATAAGACATGCAAAAAGAAGAAAGGAAACAAGCGACGTTTCTGGTGCATGCCTTTCGTCAGACCACACAGCAAGCCCAAGTTCAATGTGTATTTTTGTAGTATATGTTTCACCCAGTGTTTATGAGCAATAAATATGTAAGAACAGATGCCAATTTTTGTAGCTCATTTTATAAAATATTGCATGACAATGTTATATTCGCAGGAGTGACACAAAAGCTCTCAATTGTATTTCAGGTTGACAGTTAGTACGTCAAAATGATGCCAGGCCATATAATGAAATGACGATAGAATGTGGGATTGGCAGCTTAATTTTTTTCGGGTTGACAAATGGGACATGAAAATGACACAAAACACGGTCGTTTGACGGTTCAAAGCTTGGAAAAGAGCTGCAAAGACATTTCCTGTCAATTTGATGGAAAATGTTCTAGTGTTAGTTTTGTTGACTTCGCACATGTACACCTAAGAGTGGGGTTTATCGGTTCCCAGTAACTGAGAAGGGTCTAGAAAACGGTATATAAGTACACCTAAGAATGGGGTGTAACTGCATTCCCAGTAAGTGAGAAACGAAATATCGGTGCACCTAAGAATGGGGTGTATCAGTATTCCCAGTAAGTGAAAAATGGAATATATGTACACCTAAGAATGGGGTGTAGGAGTATTCCCAGTAAGTGATAAACGGAATATATGTGCACCTAAAAGAGGGGTGTAACAGTATTCCCAGTAAGTGAGAAACGGAATATACGTACACCTAAGAATGGGGTGTATCGGTATTCCCAGTAAGTGAGAAACGGAATACACATACACCTAAGAATGGGGTGTATCAGTATTCCCAGCAAGTGAGAAACGGAATATATGTACACCTAAAAATGGGGTGTATCAGTATTCCCAGTAAGTGAGAAACGGAATATATGTACACCCCTTGGTGGGGTGTGTCTTATGCACCCGCTGAGGTGCACATGTGCACCAGAAAATGAGGTGCATGTATGCACCCCTTTTTGGGGTGTCGCATATATACCCTTGGGGGTGTCGTATATGGGACAAGTCACATACACCCCACTGGGTGTAAGTGCTACACCCCTTTTTTTTTAGAGTGTAGAGGCCAGCAAAGCTGGACATTGTGAAAGAAAACATGGCATGGGTGAAAAAAACATGGGAGCGATTAAAGTACTTTTATTTATTTCTTCTTTATTTATTTATTTATTGATACTGCAATCACTGAAAGAGATTTTAGCAGGTGGGTATACACTTGATTCACAAGACATACAGGCATAGCAAATAGCAAACAAGTCGCAGAAACAAAATAACAAATATTTTTCAGAGGGACAAAACTAATTTAGAAGGGATTCAAATGAAGACACTGATGGCTGCATAACGACACTTTCAGAAAGGCTATTCCAATCAGTTACCGTTCGCGGAAAAAAGAGTACTTGAAGCAATTATTATGCGATCGAAAAGGAGTTATCGTTAGCGCATGCCTCTGTCGAGTAGCGTAGCCTGATGAGAAGTTTATTAAGTGAGACAGACCTATCCTATAATGTCCATTTATAATTGATAAAAAAATTTTAGTCGAGAATGCCGATTTCTGAGAGATAATGACTTTAAGTTAGCTATGGTTAAAAGTTCGGTTATAGAGGTACGCCAAAGCTATTGTAAATGCAGCGAGCTGCCTTTTTCTGCACACGATCGAGCTTGTTAATGTTTAGTATGGTGAAGGGATCTCAAATGACAGCCGCGTAATGTAATGTTGCCAAGATTATGGCTTTAAATGTTAGAAGACGCAAGGAAGGGGTAGAAAATCTTAGAGTCCATCTAAGAAAGAATAACTTTCGAAGAGCATTTGATGTTACGTAATCAATCTGTTTTGTCCAAATAAATTATGAGTGATCCATAGTCCAAGGTATTTATATTGTGTTACTTTTGATAGAAGAATATTATTAGTATTGTAAACAAATTTCAAAGGATTTCTTTTCGGCGTAATTCTCATAAAAACAGTTTTTTTCAAAGTTAACATTCATTTGCCACTGCGTACACCATTCTGTGATTTTTTGAAAAGCTCTATTTAAGCTTTGAAATTGAATTTGAAAAGCTCTATTAAAGTTTAGAACGAGGCTCAGAATATTTATTTAGAGGTTGTAGACACCACGCGCACATCGTAGGCGCTCAGATCCAGCAGCCGGAGGTACAAAAGAATATCAGCGCCACGTCGGTGTCTGACGAGAGACCGAGAATCATGTCTCAAATAGTGACGGAACGCCCCCTGTCGGAACAGTAAATACAATAATTAGATATGTCTATTCACACTTTCTGCCCGGCGCCCTGTTCAGTTCTTTTTTTTTTTTTACAATGACGAAGCTTCGTCCTAATATTACAATTTTTAACTTCACGCGAGGGTGGCTTTCTTGTCTCCATCGTCACAACTAAGTTTTTGTCTGTAATTTCCAGGGCTTCGCTTGTCAGTAAAGGTTTCTTAATCTTTTTGCGACAGAAGGACGAGGAACGTCCATTTGTGTCCTGGTTCCCGATTTTCGCAAACTAAGATGGGAACGTCCAAAAGCGAAGCGCCAGCGTTTTCCACATATACATTCAGAGGCTTAGAAATTGTCTTATTTGAAGTGTCATGATGCGGCCGCGCCGCTATCACTCTGATAACGCGACCGCGCCTATGTTTGTATTCTTTGTTTGGTTGACAAGCGACTGTATAAATGAACGTTTGTGGAATAAACGGGCGTTTTTTGCCACCAACCAGACATGGTGTCAGAAAAGGGCCCCGAGAGCGGGTAGTAGCGCAGCGAGGAGACTGGACGCATCGAGACCAGCGGCGCCATGGCAACGCTCAAGTCGCAGCAACCCTTCGACTTCGGCAACGCGGGCGACTGGCCGGCGTGGCTCGAAGAATTCGAGGACTTCAGCTTCGCCTCCGGTCTCAACAAAAAGGACGAGGAAACCCAAGTAAGGACGCTTCTTTACACTATGGGAACGAAGGCTCGAGAGGTACTCAGGTCGCTTGACGTAAAAGACGCTGATTTCTAAAATTACGCGCTAGTGAAGTCGAAGCTTCAATGTTATTTTGTTCACACGAAAAACATCGTCTACGAGAGCGCTTGCTTTAATGGACGAAAACAAGAGTGCGGAGAGACAGTAGACCAGTTCATGACCGAGCTGCACAAGCAAGCCGAGAGGCGACCGCCTTGTCGTAGGGCTCTTATACCA